TTTGAAACGCGGCAGAACGAATTCTTCTGCCGAAACTGATCACTGTTACAACGCTGTGGGTGATCACGATATAGTTTTCTCCGATACCAAGGTCCTCTGCAAACCCACGGGTTTTTATCAGAGATTTGTCCACGAGGCAATTCAGATTTACAAACACAGACACAATTTCAACCGAGAAGATGGTTTCAAATTAAGCAACCATTGGAAAGATATTCTAAATCGAACCAAACATTGAACTAATTTTCAATGATACAGTATATTTATTCAAGTAGTGGCATCTCAAACTCTCACGGTGGTGTAATGTCATTTTATGCTAATTACAAGCTTTCACAGTAGTACATTTTATGCTAATTCCTTTGTCAAGGCGTTATCTGTTTACCCCCTCACAGCTTAAAGGAGGCGACCTGCACTTGGCTTTCTTCACTCCAACGCTGTCCTCTGGACAGTTTGGTCCCTCCACCTGATGAAGGCCACTTGTGTTGTGGCCGAAACGTCGTGATTTTTTGTTGTTTTATTTTTTACCTACGTGACTTTACCGAATAGAACCAAAGAATATGGATACTTGCAGTCACAAAAGCTTCCAATCTAGAATAGATAGGCATGAATTCTAGATTTAAAGCTTTCGTGACTGCTAGGATCCATACTCTTTGTTTCTATTGGGTAAAGTCACGTAGGTGAAAATAAAATAACAAAAAATCACGACGTTTCAGCCACAACACAAGCGGCCTTCATCAGGTGAAGGGACGAGACTGTCTGGAGGACAACAACACTCCAGCGCTGTCCTCCAGGCAGTCTCGTCCCTTCACCTGATGAAGGCCGCTTGTGTTGTGGCCGAAAAGTCGTGATTTTTTGTTATTTAATTTTCACCTACGTGACTTTACCCAATAGAACCAAAGAGTATAGATAGGCATGGTCGGATTTTCCAGTACCCGTCACGACACTTGCCAAATAATGTTGAACATGCTGAAGCTTGCTAATGTTTTTGCTAGACATCCCATAGAGTAGAATTATCAACATAAACTAGAACTATCAACGTATATTTCTGTATTATATCTGAATTGAAACAAAGTTGTTTAAAGGGAAATTGTGCATTCAGCAGTCATACATAACTGGACTTACCATTGACATCATGTATCTTTCCACAAAATTCCTCCGATTCAAACTTAGCCTGTTCTTCCGCATCACAGGGACCTGGAGGCTCAAAGTCAACGTCGCAGCTGAAAATAAAACAAAAAGCAAACTATTATTACCGCATCAACATCATTCCAGTCATCACCCTTGCATTGTCTTAAGAAAAACCGGTCACTTACTGTAACCATTTTTAAATCGGAGACAAGGGACCCAAATATAATGTATTTGGATATCGATCCTCCCCACTTAGGCAGAACGAAGGGTGTTTTCTAGAACTTATCACAGGTCCACAAACTGCAATCCACGCAGCAGTATTTGCACCGCCTGTGCAGCACATTCTGCTGTGCCTGAGTCCACAGGAGAAATGGACAAAAGTCGGTGAGGCTATAGTGAAGTTAAGACGCAATTCATGATCCACCAGTCTATGAACAGAGTCATGGCATTCGGAAACAGAAGCTAAGACTGAATAGTCAGCTTTGTCCATGGGCAGAAAATACACAATGACGTGTATTTGGCAGAAAATACACAATGACGTGTATTTGGCAGATTCTTCGAATTCCATGTGTGCCGAGTGGATTGCGCGGCATAAATCTTGACTCATAAAATAGTTTTAAAAAGCGTAAAAAGCGGGAAATGGTGTGCAGCAATTTAACACCAGCGAAACTGTCTAAAAAAACAGAAAGCAAACAGAAAGTGCAGTTTTCGTGAACAATATTTTACACGAAGATGCAAAATGGGCGAGTGATCACTCACTCAGCTGAGCTGTTATCTGATATCCAACTGTTTCCCAGCTTGGTTTCGGAAGCAGCCAATGACCCATTTGGCATGAGTAAGTCATCATCAATATCACCATTAAAGTTTCCTGTTCAAAAGACAACGACATTCACATGGTCCACCAAACGTGTGGCTTCACTCCCATAATACTGCTCCTCATCAAAAAGGAGCATACGTTTATACAGAGCATACATTGGGAATTGTAAGATTACGTGACATTACAAAATGACAAAGAATACATCAAAAGATAACTTTGCCAGTCACAGCAAACATGAGTGGTGAGTGATTTATGAACCGGTCCTGGGCCCCATTGCAACGTGCAGTGTCCAGTATGAAGTGTGGTCAAACAACCCCCACGACCAACGCAAATTAGAGAAGCCTTCATTCAGCAGTGGATTCAGAAGGGGCTGGACTATTTAAAATCATGGATTCTTGAAGCAAAATATTAGTAATAACTTATTCAAATCCATCGTGAATGTCTTCATAATCGGTTTATCTTTACCATTGCCGTGAATTTGTTATCTTTGGCAACTTCTTATCTTCTGCCTTATCTTATCATTCGTAAGAGTGCCTCTGTGAATGTTACGCTGCTTTTTTACATTGTTTCGGATGAAATGTTAAGCAGCTTTAACTAAAAACACTTTAACAAATCGATGGTCTGCCCAAAATATAGTAGTGCTCCCACCTTAGGGACGATGCATCAAGTGAGCACTACAACTGCTTGGTGCAACTAAATCAAGCACTGTCCTCCCTATGGATGATGTAGCTCTGTCTGAGCACCTCGACTGTCTTCATCACATCTCTTTGCTGCCTCTTCTACAGTATTGCTATGTGTCGTGTTCTTCTACAGTACTTTTATGTTTCGTGCTCTTTGGAAATGTCCAAATCACTGAACCTATCTTCTGAACTGTCTTACTCATTTCTCCACGTAGGATTTGTGTGTTTTTGCCAATTATTTTCATAAAGTCCTGCGTCTCATCCGTCATATCACAAGCTGATGAACGCTAGGATTCACTACCAACCTTTCCATTCTCAATTAATTTCAATTTGAAAGGGAATGTTTAATCTTGTAACCGATGCTAACGCAAGTCAGGTTTCAATAATGCTCATGAACATTTTGATCATTGTCTCACCGCAGAGTCCACAGAGCTGCCCAGCGTACTCCATTGGTACAGACACCACAACTTGATAGTACCCATCGAAACGAACTGTGAGGCTGAAGTTGGTCATGAGCACAAGGTATGAGCCGCTCAGAGACACGTGCATCCCCGGTAGCAACAGTGGGGGCGTCACCCGCTCCCCATCCAACTGTAGATCAAAGCACATGAGTGATTCAAGCGTTAAGGAAATCATTTCCCTTCATAATAATGCTTGTACATCCCAGTGGTCTCAATTTAAATTTTGATTGTATTATTGATTGGTTAATGGCTTTAATTACTGCTAATTGAGAAGTGAGCTTTACCCCAGTACCACATTGTTCAGCAGTTGTGTACAATTCATTCAGTAAGTGGCAGAATCATATGAAGCCTCCAATTGACACAAAGGCTCAAATTCATTTAACAGTGAAGGTTGGACTCAAGTAAAGAGGGCACATCTAAAAAGACACCTCTGCTGAGATGCTCAATTCACATTCGGGCCGCCACCTTAATATAAACCGGGTTCCCGAGCATCGGGAGATGATGGTCTCAGAATGTTTACAATTTGCCATTTCCAGCCTATGAGAGCATATTTGGAGTAACTGCCATTGTAGGCGGTAGGAATTACAAAGAGGAGAATGTTGCATTCTTTTCCTAGAAGCGAAGCACCAATGAGTTATTAAGTGAGAATGCAGAAATAACAGATTAAGTGGTGGTGGAACATACACTCGGCCTGGGTTGGTGCCTCCCATTAGCCTCTGCATGCGTCAACACAACATGAATGTGTTATTGCACCGCCTGTGACACTAGCTCAAACAAATAGGCTAATAATTTAATATTTAATTCACATATTACTTATCAATACTTTAAAACCTCAGCCCTTTTAGGTGTAATATTAACCAGTAGGATGTGATGTGTAGTCATGGTTATCCTGTGTCCGAATACGTCCACGTAAACATCTTGGAGCACAGATATGCTTGGGTTGAGGCGCTCGTTTTTAGTCTCCACGTTGAAGTGGGGCAGGGAGGAGGAGATGTTGCACAGCTTGGCTGTTGTGTAGATGCACGCGCCCATGAAGTCGTAATAGAGCCCATCAAACGTCGTGTAATGTGGGTCTCCCTGCACCACACATCTTGCAGCTACTGAAAAAGATTTGAGAATTTTCATTCACTTCACAGTGACCATCCACGCAGCCATTTAAATCGTGTTATTACTTTGTTTTGAGATCGTGTTTGTATTTTAGCATCTAATAAAATAAATGCTTGTTATTTTTATATTCACAAAGAGGGAACCTACCCATCCAAATCATCAAGCCATATTGAGATGAAATATCCTTATTTATATAGCCACGGGGTAGGCCAAGCTACTGTGCAACAAGGGTACTAGAGATCGAGTCATTTTTTTCTCCGTCAATATTAACAAATTCTCCCATCAAATTAGGACTACACCAAATGAAGTTAAAACAGGCAAGATTTGTTTCAATCACTCAAGTTCGTATTTGAACCATCAACATGCAATCCTTGAACAATGAGAATAAAGCAGTTAACTGCCAGGATTTGAACAAGGAAACTCAGTTTTGCAGGATATATGCTGTGTTAAATACATTTTCAATATAAGCAACCAATTTCCTTCTCATGCCATCATGAACATTTTATGTTTAGAATGTGTTCATCATCAAGGAAACGAAAATATATTACAGTACAAGTTCTTAAAAAAATGATTTGTAAGTAAATATCCTGGGCAAGAGATATCGATGTGCAGTCCATGATTACTTATGCTTGGAGGCGCAGTTGTTGTTGGTGGTGAAACTGTTGTGGTATCTGTGGTAAAAATATACGCAATTAAACATATTGATGTATCACAAAGAGAAGCATAATTTTAAGATTAACACAAAATACGCATACAATATTATATTTTTTGTAGCAATACCACTATCATTTTATGGGCTGAAAAGTCATTGCAAATGAGCGGTCTTGATTATTTCTTACATTGGGGTAGGATATGTTGGGAAAATCTTACCATAGCTGTGACAGCCCAGGCTTCCATTCTGCACACTGCAGATTTCGGAGCCTCCACACTGCCAGGGCTCACAGACCATGCCTCCAGCATCGCCACAAGAGCAATGCAGACTGCAGTTCTGTGTTGCAAACCAGCTGTCCCCAAGCTGCGAAAAACAATGCACGATGAGAATCATGAAATATACATAACAGGGAAAGCTTACTGAAACCTTATCTGATATATTTCAACATCATTGCAACATACATACATTGCATTTGTTCATTTTGTTCATAATTTTCACCATTTTACTCCAGCGTGAAACTTAATGCACTCCATCTTTACTTATACATTAGTCTTAAAAATGAAAATGCACACTTGTAGGTCATATACCAAAACAAAACATAGCTTAGCTTGCCTATGTGGATATTAATAAATGATCACCGTTTAATTCACATGATGTGAAGGGTTAACCCACCGGATGATAGAGGTCGTTGTCGTCCATGCAGCCACACTGATCTTGAGGGACACACTTGTCTCCTGAGAAGACAAAACGCTCATCACAGACACAGCCCTCCCCACAGGGCTGCTGGCAGGCACCTGGGAGGGTCACATTGCTGCACGTGGCTGGGCACGGTGGGGCACAGCTCTCATAGTGGCTGTCTGCAGGGCATTCGAGCGCTGTCAACACAAATGATAAACATACTCAGAGATAAATTACAATGGGGATGCACAACTGCAAGCAGCTATACAAATGAACAAACCACACAGATGTACATTGTGCTTCCACAGAATAAAAACAAGGCCCAGTCTCATGCAATGTGATGTGTTATGGATTAAAGCTCAGACAGGTTTGTACTCACGGCAGAAGGTGTCGTTCCTCCACATGATGATGACCCCATGCTGGGCACACTGGTCAGCGTAGGTCTGCATGGAGGCACAGAGGAACTGCTCGTTCCCATCCATCCAGCACTGGTCAAGAACGCAGGTGATGAAGAACTGCTCTGGATTAACCACTGCATGGCACTCTTGGAATGCTCCTGTTCACAAGCGACGTGAATATCATTTACAACACAGCGATATTTGCAACTATGTATGTATGTATGTTAACCTGTCACATGGTATGTCGTCAACTGTGCTAATCGGAGGTGCGGGGAAAGGACAACAAACTAAACAATACAATTTCTAAAGTAATGAGTTTTAAATTAAAATGTATAAGTACAGAGCTCCAGTGGCTTCCTAATATTGGAAGGAAGTGTGTTCCACACGGCTGTAGAAGTGCATCTGATAGCCCTTTATGCGGTGACCATCTTTGTTCGATGGTTAGCCAAAAGCTGGTGTGAGGATGAGTGGAGTTTGTGTGACTGTTTATGTTCCTGGATGAGATCAGCAGAGTATTGTGGTTCATTTGTAGCAAGCACTTTGTGTGCAGTGAGCGTGAACTTGTAATGTATTCGTTCAGCAACCGGAAGCCAATGCAGTTCAGCGAGAAATAGATAGGCATGTTTTAATTCACTGGTCAGGTGGTGTTGGTCCGAAATGCAATGAGCCCTGTGGTATAACGTTTTGATGAGATAATTCTTTTGCGTCGGGTGGTGGTGGGAATCAGGTTTCAAGTAGCAATCTGTGTGGGTGGGTTTCCTGTAGACAGAATGTCCCAATGAGCCATCAGGTCTCCTCTCAAGCAGAACATCCAAGAATGGCAGCTTGCCATCTTTCTCCACTTCCATGGTGAATTTGATGGCGGGGTGTCTGGAATTAATGTGGTCTAGGAAAAGGTTCAAAGCTGGGAGGCCATGTGGCCAAATTACGAAAGTGTCGTCTACATATCTCTTCCACAGGGAAGGTCTGAGGGTGGAAGTCTGGATGGCGTCCGATTCAAATTTCTCCATGAAAATATTGGCTATCACTGTTGACAAGGGGGAACCCATAGGGGTACCCTCATTTTGTTTGTAGAAGGTGCCATTCCAAAGTAAAGTAGTAAAGTAGGTATTGGTGAGGCAGTGTCTAACCAGCCTAACCAGTGCCTAACCAGCGCAGGTGTATCGGGGTCTAGTCCTACAAGCTCATTTAGTGTTAACACAAAATATGTCACCTGATTGGAACCACAAACAAAATGAGGGTACCCCCATGGGTTCCCCCTTGTCACCAGTGATAGCCAATATTTTCATGGAGAAATTTGAATCAGACGCCATCCAGACTTCCACCCTCAGACCTTCCCTGTGGAAGAGATATGTAGACGACACTTTCGTCATTTGGCCACATGGCCTCCCAGCTTTGAACCTTTTCCTAGACCACATTAATTCCAGACACCCCACCATCAAATTCACCATGGAAGTGGAGAAAGATGGCAAGCTGCCATTCTTGGATGTTCTGTTTGAGAGGAGACCTGATGGCTCATTGGGACATTCTGTCAACAGGAAACCCACCCACACAGATTCCTACTTGAAACCTGATTCCCACCACCACCCGACGCAAAATAATTATCTCATAAAAACGTTATACCACAGGGCTCATTGCATTTCGGACCAACACCACCTGACCAGTGAATTAAAACATGTACATCTGGCCCTCAAAAGGAATGGATACTCTGACCGTACCATCCGACAAGTTGTTTTTCCCTCCATACAGAAACAACCACTTGATACTCCGATCAAAACCATCACACTACCATATATAGCAGGCGTTACTAAAAAGATCTCCAAAATTCTAAACAAACACAAGATCCTGGTCCGGTTTAATACAGTACACAAAATCCGTGACCTGATCCCTTCCGTGAAGGATGTCATTCCTGACTTACAGTACCCCGGGGTTTACAAATTGATCTGCACTTGTGGTGACTGCTATTTCGGGGAGATGAAACGACATGTCTCTGACCGAATTCGCGAGCACAAATCAGATTTGAAACGCGGCAGAACGAATTCTTCTGCCGAAACTGATCACTGTTACAACGCTGTGGGTGATCACGATATAGTTTTCTCCGATACCAAGGTCCTCTGCAAACCCACGGGTTTTTATCAGAGATTTGTCCACGAGGCAATTCAGATTTACAAACACAGACACAATTTCAACCGAGAAGATGGTTTCAAATTAAGCAACCATTGGAAAGATATTCTAAATCGAACCAAACATTGAACTAATTTTCAATGATACAGTATATTTATTCAAGTAGTGGCATCTCAAACTCTCACGGTGGTGTAATGTCATTTTATGCTAATTACAAGCTTTCACAGTAGTACATTTTATGCTAATTCCTTTGTCAAGGCGTTATCTGTTTACCCCCTCACAGCTTAAAGGAGGCGACCTGCACTTGGCTTTCTTCACTCCAACGCTGTCCTCTGGACAGTTTGGTCCCTCCACCTGATGAAGGCCACTTGTGTTGTGGCCGAAACGTCGTGATTTTTTGTTGTTTTATTTTTTACCTACGTGACTTTACCGAATAGAACCAAAGAATATGGATACTTGCAGTCACAAAAGCTTCCAATCTAGAATAGATAGGCATGAATTCTAGATTTAAAGCTTTCGTGACTGCTAGGATCCATACTCTTTGTTTCTATTGGGTAAAGTCACGTAGGTGAAAATAAAATAACAAAAAATCACGACGTTTCAGCCACAACACAAGCGGCCTTCATCAGGTGAAGGGACGAGACTGTCTGGAGGACAACAACACTCCAGCGCTGTCCTCCAGGCAGTCTCGTCCCTTCACCTGATGAAGGCCGCTTGTGTTGTGGCCGAAAAGTCGTGATTTTTTGTTATTTAATTTTCACCTACGTGACTTTACCCAATAGAACCAAAGAGTATAGATAGGCATGGTCGGATTTTCCAGTACCCGTCACGACACTTGCCAAATAATGTTGAACATGCTGAAGCTTGCTAATGTTTTTGCTAGACATCCCATAGAGTAGAATTATCAACATAAACTAGAACTATCAACGTATATTTCTGTATTATATCTGAATTGAAACAAAGTTGTTTAAAGGGAAATTGTGCATTCAGCAGTCATACATAACTGGACTTACCATTGACATCATGTATCTTTCCACAAAATTCCTCCGATTCAAACTTAGCCTGTTCTTCCGCATCACAGGGACCTGGAGGCTCAAAGTCAACGTCGCAGCTGAAAATAAAACAAAAAGCAAACTATTATTACCGCATCAACATCATTCCAGTCATCACCCTTGCATTGTCTTAAGAAAAACCGGTCACTTACTGTAACCATTTTTAAATCGGAGACAAGGGACCCAAATATAATGTATGTGAATATCGATCCTCCCCACTTAGGCAGAACGAAGGGTGTTTTCTAGAACTTATCACAGGTCCACAAACTGCAATCCACGCAGCAGTATTTGCACCGCCTGTGCAGCACATTCTGCTGTGCCTGAGTCCACGGGAGAAATGGATAAAAGTCGGTGAGGCTATAGTGAAGTTAAGACACAATTCATGATCCACCAGTCCATGAACAGAGTCATGGCATTCAGAAACAGAAGCTAAGACTGAATAGTCAGCTTTGTCCATGGGCAGAAAATACACAATGACGTGTATTTGGCAGAAAATACACAATGACGTGTATTTGGCAGAAAATACACAATGACGTGTATTTGGCAGAAAATACACAATGACGTGTATTTGGCAGATTCTTCGAATTCCATGTGTGCTGAGTGGATTGCGCGGCATAAATCTTGACTCATAAAATAGTTTTAAAAAGCGTAAAAAGCGGGAAATGGTGTGCAGCAATTTAACACCAGCGAAACTGTCTAAAAAAACAGAAAGCAAACAGAAAGTGCAGTTTTCGTGAACAATATTTTACACGAAGATGCAAAATGGGCGAGTGATCACTCACTCAGCTGAGCTGTTATCTGATATCCAACTGTTTCCCAGCTTGGTTTCGGAAGCAGCCAATGACCCATTTGGCATCAGTAAGTCATCATCAATATCACCATTAAAGTTTCCTGTTCAAAAGACAACGACATTCACATGGTCCACCAAACGTGTGGCTTCACTCCCATAATACTGCTCCTCATCAAAAAGGAGCATACGTTTATACAGAGCATACATTGGGAATTGTAAGATTACGTGACATTACAAAATGACAAAGAATACATCAAAAGATAACTTTGCCAGCCACAGCAAACATGAGTGGTGAGTGATTTATGAACCGGTCCTGGGCCCCATTGCAACGTGCAGTGTCCAGCATGAAGTATGGTCAAACAACCCCCACGACCAACGCAAATTAGAGAAGCTTTCATTCAGCAGTGGATTCAGAAGGGGCTGGACTATTTAAAATCGTGGATTCTTGAAGCAAAATGTTAATAATAACTTATTCAAATCCATCGTGAATGTCTTCATAATCGGTTTATCTTTACCATTGCCGTGAATTTGTTATCTTTGGCAACTCCTTATCTTCTGCCTTATCTTATCATTCGTAAGAGTGCCTGTGTGAATGTTACGCTGCTTTTTTACGCTGTTTCGCACAAAATGTTAAGCAGCCTTAACTAAAAACACTTTAACAAATCGATGGTCTGCCCAAAATATAGTAGTGCTCCCACCTCAGGGATGATGCATCAAAGTGAGCACTACAACTGCTTGGTGCAACTAAATCAAGCACTGTCCTCCCTATGGATGATGTAGCTCTGTCTGAGCACCTCGACTGTCTTCATCACATCTCTTTGCTGCCTCTTCTACAGAATTGCTGCTATGTGTCGTGTTCTTCTACAGTACTTTTATGTTTTGTGCTCTTTGGAAATGTCCAAATCACTGAACCTATCTTCTGAACTGTCTTACTCTCTTATTTCTCCACGTAAGATTTGTGTGTTTTTGCCAATTATTTTCATAAAGTGCTGCGTCTCATCCGTCATATCACAAGCTGATGAACTCTAGCATTCACTACCAACCTTTTCATTCTCAATTAATTTCAATTTGAAAGGGAATGTTTAATCTTGTAACCGATGCTAACGCAAGTCAGGTTTCAATAATGCTCATGAACATTTTGATCATAGTCTCACCGCAGAGTCCACAGAGCTGCCCAGCGTACTCCATTGGTACAGACACCACCACTTGATAGTACCCATCGAAACGAACCGTGAGGCTGAAGTTGGTCATGAGCACGAGGTATGAGCCGCTCAGAGACACGTGCATCCCCGGTAACACCAGTGGGGGCGTCACCCGCTCCCCATCCAACTGTAGATCAAAGCACATGAGTGATTCAAGCGTTAAGGAAATCATTTTCCTTCATAATAATGCTTGTACAACCCAGTGGTCTCAATTTAAATTTTGATTTTATTATTGATTGGTTAATGGCTTTAATTACTGCTAATTGAGAAGTGAGCTTTACCCCAGTACCACATTGTTCAGCAGTTGTGTACAATTCATTCAGTAAGTCGCAGAATCATATGAAGCCTCCAATTGACACAAAGGCTCAAATTCATTTAACAGTGAAGGTTGGACTCAAGTAAAGAGGGCACATCTAAAAAGACACCTCTGCTGAGATGCTCAATTCACATTCGGGCCGCCACCTTAATATAAACCGGGTTCCCGAGCATCGGGAGATGATGGTCTCAGAATGTTTACAATTTGCCATTTCCAGCCTATGAGAGCATATTTGGAGTAACTGCCATTGTAGGCGGTAGGAATTACAAAGAGGAGAATGTTGCATTCTTTTCCTAGAAGCCAAGCACCAATGAGTTATTAAGTGAGAATGCAGAAATAACAGATTAAGTGGTGGTGGAACATACACTCGGCCTGGGTTGGTGCCTCCCATTAGCCTCTGCATGCGTCAACACAACATGAATGTGTTATTGCACTGCCTATGACACTAGCTCAAACAAATAGGCTAATAATTTAATATTTAACTCACATATTAATGATCAATACTTTAAAACCTCAGCGCTTTTAGGTGTAATATTAACCAGTAGGATGTGATGTGTAGTCATGGTTATCCTGTGTCCGAATACGTCCACGTAAACATCTTGGAGCACAGATATGCTTGGGTTGAAGCGCTCGTTTTTAGTCTCCACGTTGAAGTGGGGCAGGGAGGAGGAGATGTTGCACAGCTTGGCTGTTGTGTAGATGCACGCGCCCATGAAGTCGTAATAGAGCCCATCAAACGTCGTGTAATGTGGGTCTCCCTGCACCACACATCTTGCAGCTACTGAAAAAGATTTGAGAATTTTCATTCACTTCACAGTGACCGTCCATGCAGCCATTTAAATCGTGTTATTACTTTATTTTGAGATCGTGTTTGTATTTTAGCATCTAATAAAATAAATGCTTGTTATTTTTATATTCACAAAGAGGGAACCTACCCATCCAAATCATCAAGCCATATTGGGATGAAATATCCTTCTTTATCTAGCCACGGGTTAGGCCAAGCTACTGTGCAACAAGGGTACTATAGATGGAGTAAATTTTTTCTCCGTCAATATTAACAAATTCTCCAATCAAATTAGGACTACACCAAATGAAGTTAAAACAGGCAAGATTTGTTTCAATCACTCAAGTTCGTATTTGAACCATCAACATGCAATCCTTGAACAATGAGAATAAAGCAGTTAACTGCCAGGATTTGAACAAGGAAACTCAGTTTAGCAGGATATATGCTGTGTTAAATACATTTTCAATATAAGCAACCAATTTCCTTCTCATGCCATCGTGAGCATTTTATGTTTAGAATGTGTTCATCATCAAGGAAACGAAAATATGTTACAGTACAAGTTCTTAACAAATTGATTTGTAAGTAAATATCCTGGGCAAGAGATATCGATGTGCAGTCCATGATTACTTATGCTTGGAGGCGTAGTTGTTGTTGGTGGTGAAACTGTTGTGGTATCTGTGGTAAAAATATACGCAATTAAACATTTATGTATCACAAAGAGAAGCATAATTTTAAGATTAACACAAAATACGCATACAATATTATATTTTTTGTAGCAATACCACTATCATTTTATGGGCTGAAAAGTCATTGCAAATGAACGGTCTTGATTATTTCTTATATTGGGGTAGGACATGTAGGGAAAATCTTACCATAGCTGTGACAGCCCAGGCTTCCATTCTGCACACTGCAGATTTCGGCGACTCCACACTGCCAGGGCTCACAGACCATGCCTCCAGCATCGCCACAAGAGCAATGCAGACTGCAGTTCTGTGTTGCAAACCAGCTGTCCCCAAGCTGTGAAAAACAATGCACGATGAGAATCATGAAATATACGTAATAGGAAAAGCTTACTGAAACATTATCTGATATATTTCAACATCATTGCAACATACATACATTGCATTTGTTCATTTTGTTCATAATTTTCACCATTTTACTCCAGCGTGAAACTTAATGCACTCCATCTTTACTTATATATTAGTCTTAAAAATGAAAATGCACACTTGTAGGTCATATACCAAAACAATTCATAGCTTAGCTTGCCTATGTGGATATTAATAAATGATCACCGTTTAATTCACATGATGTGAAGGGTTAACCCACCGGGTGATAGAGGTCGTTGTCGTCCATGCAGCCACACTGATCTTGAGGGACACACTTGTCTCCTGAGAAGACAAAACCCTCATCACAGACACAGCCCTCCCCACAGGGCTGCTGGCAGGCACCTGGGAGGGTCACATTGCTGCACGTGGCTGGGCACGTTGGGGCACAGCTCTCATAGTGGCTGTCTGCAGGGCATTCGAGCGCTGTCAACACAAATGATAAACATACTCAGAGATAAATTACAATGGGGATGCACAACTGCAAGCAGCTATACAAATGAACAAACCACACAGATGTACATTGTGCTTCCACATAATAAAAACAAGGCCCAGTCTCATGCAATGTGATGTGTAACGGATTAAAGCTCAGACAGGTCTGTACTCACGGCAGAAGGTGTCGTTCCTCCACATAATGATGACCCCATGCTGGGCACACTGATCAGCGTAGGTCTGCATGGAGGCACAGAGGAACTGCTCGTTCCCATCCATCCAGCACTGGTCAAGAACGCAGGTGATGAAGAATTGCTCTGGATTGACCACTGCATGGCACTCTTGGAATGCTCCTGTTCACAAGCGACGTAAATATAATTTACAACACAGCGATATTTGCAAGTATGTATGTATGTTGACCTGTCACACGGTATGCCGTCAACTGTGCTAATCGGAGGTGCGGAGGAAGGACAACAAACTAAACAATGAAACTGTTCTAAAGTAATGAGTTTTAAATTTAAATGTAAAAGTACAGAGCTCCAGTGGCTTCTTAATATTGGAAGGAAGTGTGTTCCAGACGGCTGTTAAAGTGCATCTTAAAGCCCTTTATGCGGTGACCATCTTTGTTCGATGGTTATCCAAAAGCTGGTGTGAGGATGAGCGGAGTTTGCGTGACTATTTATGCTCCTGGATGAGAACAGCAGAGTATTGTGGTTCATTTGTAGCAAGCACTTTGTGTGCAGTGAGTGTGAACTTGTAATGTATTCGTTTAGCAACCGGAAGTCAATGCAGTTAAGCGAGAAATAGATGGGCATGGTCGGATTTTCCAGTACCCGTCACGGCACTTGACAAATAATGTTGAACATGCTGAAGCTTGCAAATGTTTTTGCTAGACATCCCGTAGAGTAGAATTATCAACATAAACTAGAACTATCAACGTATATTTCTGTATTATATCTGAATTGAAACAAAGTTGTTTAAAGGGAAATTGTGCATTCAGCAGTCATACATAACTGGACTTACCATTGACATCATGTATCTTTCCACAAAATTCCTCCGATTCAAACTTAGCCTGTTCTTCTGCATCACAGGGACCTGGAGGCTCAAAGTCAACGTCGCAGCTGCAAATAAAACAAAAAGCAAACTATTATTACCACATCAACATCATTCCACTCATCACCCTTGTATTGTCTTCAGAAAAAACGGTCACTTACTGTAACCATTTTTAAATCGGAGACAAGGGACCCAAATATAATGTATGTGATTATCGATCCTCCCCACTTAGGCAGAACGAAGGGTGTTTTCTAGAACCTATCACAGGTCCACAAACTGCAATCCAAGCAGCAGTATTTGCACCACCTGTGCAGCACACAGGAGAAATGGATCAAAGTCCGTGAGGCTATAGCGAAGTTAAGACACAATGCATGATCCACCAGTCCATGAACAGAGTCATGGCATTCGGAAAAAGAAGCTGAGACTGAATGGTCAGCTTTGTCCATGGGCAGAAAATTCATGTCGTGTATTTGGCAGAAAATACACAATGACGTGTATTTGGCAGATTCTTCGAATTCCATGTGTGCCGAGTGGATTGCGCGGCACAAATCTTGACTCATAAAAAAAAAATTAAAAGCGTAAAAAGCGGGAAATGGTGTGGAGCAATTTAACACCAACGAAACTGTTTAAAAAGCAAGAAAGCAAACAGAAAGTGCAGTTTTCGTGAACAAAATTTTACACGATGATGCAAAATGGGTGTGATCACTCACTCAGCTGAGCTGTTATCTGATATCCAACTGTTTCCCAGCTTGGTTTCGGAAGCAGCCAATGACCCATTTGGCATCAGTAAGTCATCCTCAATATCACCATTAAAGTTTCCTGTTCAAAAGACAACGACATTCACATTGTCCACCAAACGTGTGGCTTCACTCCCATAATACTGCTCCTCATCAAAAAGGAGCATACGTTTATACAGAGCATACATTGGGAATTGTAAGATTACGTGACATTACAAAATCACAAATAATACATCAAAAGATAACTTTGCCAGCCACGGCAAACATGAGTGGTGAGTAATTTATGAACCGGTCCTGGGCCCCATTGCAACGTGCAGTGTCCAGCATGAAGTATGGTCAAACAACCCCCATGACCGACGCAAATTAGAGAGGCTTTCATTCAGCAGTGGATTCAGAAGGGGCTGGACCACTTTTAAATCATGGATTCGAGAAGCAAAAGATTATTAATAACTTATTAATATCCATCGTGAATGTCTTCATAATCGGTTTCTCTTTACCATTGCCGTGAATTTGTTATCCTTGGCAACTCCTAATCTTCTGCCTTTTCTTATCATTCGTAAGAGTGCCTCTGTGAAAATTTGCGTTGCTATTTTATGCTGTTTCGAACACAATCTGTGAAGCAGCTTTAACTAAAAACACTTTAACAAATCAATGGTCTACCCAAAATATAGTAATGCTCCCACCTCAGGGATGATGCATCAAAGTGAGCACTACAACTGCTTGGTGCAACTAAATCAAGCGCTGTCCTGCCTATGGATGATGTAGCTCTGTCTGACCACCTGGACTGTCTTCATCACACCTCTTTGCTGCCTCTGCTGCAGTACTGCTGCTATGTGTTGTGTTCTTCTACAGTACTTTTATGTTTCGTGCTCTTCTGAAATGCCCAAATCAGTGCACCTATCTTAAGAACTGTCTTACTCTCTTATTTCTCCATGTAAGATGTATTTTTGCCAATCTATTTCACAAAGTGCTGTGTCTCATCCGTCATATCAAAAGCTGATGAACTATATGACTCCCTACCAACCTTTCCATTCTCAATTAATTTCAATTTGAAGGGGAATGTTTAATCTTGTAACCGATGCGAACGTAAGTCAGGTTTCAATTATGCTCATGAACATTCTGATCATAGTCTCACCACAGAGTCCACAGAGTTGCCCAGCATACTCCATTGGTACAGACACCTCCACTTGATGGTGCCCATCGAAACGAACCGTGAGGCTGAAGTTGGTCATGAGCACGAGGTATGAGCCGCTCAGAGACACGTGCATCCCCGGTAACACCAGTGGGGGCGTCACCCGCTCCCCATCCAACTGTAGATCATAGCACATGAGTGATTCAAGCGTTAAAGAAATAATTTCCCTTCATAATAATGCTTGTACATCCCAGTGGTCTCAATTTACATTTTTATTTGATTATTGATCGGTTAAATGGCTTTAATTACTGCTAATTGAGAAGTGAGCTTTACCCCAGTACCACATTGTTGAGCTCTTGTCTACAATTAATGCATTGAGTGGCAGAATCATATGAAGCCTCCTTCAATTGACACAAAGGCTCACATTCATTTAACAGTGAAGGTTGGACTCAAGTAAAGAGGGCACACCTTAATATTAACCGGGTTCCCGAGCATCGGAAGATGCTGGTCTCAGGATGTTTACAATTTGCCATTTCCAGCCTGTGAGAGCATATTTGGAGTAACTGCCATTGTGGGCGGTAGGGAATTACAAAGAGAAAAATGTTGCATTCTTTTCCTAGAAGCCAAGCACCAACGAGTTATTAAGTTACAATGCAGAAATAACAGATTATGTGGTGGTGCAATATACACTCGGCCTGGGTTGGTGCCTCCCATTTGCCTCTGCATGCATCTACACAACATGAATGTGTAATTGTACCGCCTGTGACATTTGTGCAAACTCATAGGATAATAATTTAATATTTAAATCACATATTACTGATCAATACTTTAAAACCTCAGCGCTTTTAGGTGTAATATTAACCAGTAGGGTGTGATGTGTAGTCATGGTTATCCTGTGTCCGAATACGTCCACGTAAACATCTTGGAGAACAGATATGCTTGGGTTGAAGCGCTCGTTTTTCGTCTCCACGTTGAAGTGGGGCAGGGAGGAGGAGATGTTGCACAGCTTGGCTGTTGTGTAGATGCACGCGCCCATGAAGTCGTAATAGAGCCCATCAAACGTCGTGTAATGTGGGTCTCCCTGTACCACACATCTTGCAGCTACTGAAAAAGATTTGAGAATTTTCATTCACTTCACGTTGACCGTCCATGCAGCCATTTTAATGGTGTTATTACTTTGTTTTGAGATCGTGTTTGTATTTTAGCATCTAATAAAATAAATGCTTGTTATTTTTATATTCACAAAGAGGGAACCTACCCATCCAATTCATCAAGCCATATTGGGATGAAATATCCTTCTTTATTTAGCCACGGGGTAGGCCAAGCTACTGTGCAACAGGGGTACTAGAGATGGAGTCATTTTTTTCTCCATCAATTTTAACAAATTCTCCCATCAAATTAGGACTATACGAAATGAAGTAAAAAGCAGGCAATATTTGTTTCAATCACTCAAGTTCGTATTTGAACCATCAACATGCAATCCTTGAACAATGAGAATAAAGCATATTATTATCCTTTCCCTTCAACGTGACTTTACCGAAAGAACCAAGAATATGAATCACTGCAGTCACGAAAGCTTTAAATCAAAAAGAGAATAAAGCAATTAACTGCCAGGATTTGAACAAGGAAACTCATTTTTGCAGAATACATGCTGTGTTAAATACATTCACAATATAAGCATCCAATTTGCTACTCATGCCATCATGAACATTTTATGTTTAGAATGTGTTTATCATCAAGGAAACGAAAATATATTACAGTACAAGTTCTTAAAAATTGATTTTTGAGTAAATAGCCTGGGTAAGAGATATCGATGTGCAGTCCATGATTACTTATGCTTGGAGGAGCAGTTGTTGTTGGTGGTGAAACTGTTGTGGTATCTGTGGTAAAAATATACACAAATAAACATATTGATGTATCACAAAGAGAAGCATAATTTTAAGATTAACACAAAATACGCATACAATATTAATATTTTGTTGCAATACCACTATCATTTTATGGGCCGAAAAGTCATTGCAAATGAGCGGTCTTGTTTTTTTCTTACATTGGGGTAGGACATGTAGGGAAAATCTTACCATAGCTGTGACAGCCCAGGCTTCCATTCTGCACACTGCAGATTTCGGAGACTCCACACTGCCAGGGCTCACAGACCATGCCTCCAGCATCGCCACAAGAGCAATGAAGACTGCAGTTCTGTGTTGCAAACCAGCTGTCCCCAAGCTGCGAAAACCAATGGACGATGAGAATCATGAAATATACATAACAGGAAAAGCTTACAGAAACCTTATCTGACATATTTCAACATCATTGCAACATACATCCATTGCATTTGCTCATTTTGTTTATAATTTTCACCATTTTACTCCAGCGTGAAACTTAATGCACTCCATCTTTACTTATATTCGTCTTAAAAATGAAAATGATCACTGGTAGGTCATATACCAAAACAATACATAGCTTAACTTGCCTATGTGGATATTAATAAATGATCACCCTTGAATTCACATGATGTGAAGGGTTAACCCACCGGGTGATAGAATTCGTTGTGGTCCATGCAGCCACACTCATCTTGAGGGACACACTTGTCTCCTGAGAAGACAAAACCCTCATCACAGACACAGCCCTCCCCACAGGGCTGCTGGCAGGCACCTGGAAGGGTCACATTGCTGCACGTGGCTGGGCACGGTGGGGCACAGCTCTCATAGTGGCTGTCTGCAGGGCATTCGAGCGCTGTCAACACAAATGATGAACATACTCAGAGATTAGTTACAATGGGGATGCACAGCTACAAGCAGCTATACAAATGAACAAACCACACAGATGTACATTGTGCTTGCACAGAATAAAAACAAGGCCCAGTCTCATGCAATGTGATCTGTTATGGATTAAAGCTCAGACAGATGTACACTCACGGCAGAAGGTGTCGTTTCTCCACATGATGATGACCCCATGCTGGGCACACTGGTCAGCGTAGGTCTGCATGGAGGCACAGAGGAACTGCTCGTTCCCATCCATCCAGCACTGGTCAAGAACGCAGGTGATGAAGAACTGCTCTGGATTGACCACTGCATGGCACTCTTGAAATGCTCCTGTTCACAAGCGATATGAGTATAATTTACCACACAGCGATATTTGTAATTACGTATGTATGTATGATGACCTTCTTTTGCACCGTATGTCAACTATGCTAATCGGAGGTGCGGTGCAATGACAACAAACTAAACAATAAAACTGTTCTAAAGTAATGAGTTTTAAATTTAGATGTAAAAGTACATAGCTCCAGTGGCTTCCTATTATTGGAAGGAAGTGTGTTCCAGACGGATGTAGAAGTGCATCTGAAAGCCCTTGATGCAGTGACCATCTTTGTTCGATGGTTAGCCAAAAGCTGGTGTGAGGATGAGCGGAGTTTGTGTGACTGTTTTTGCTCCTGGATGAGATCAGCAGAGTTTTGTGGTTCATTTGTAGCAAGCACTTTGTGTGCAGTGAGTGTGAACTTGTAATCTATTCGTTCAGCAGCCGGAAGTCAATGCAGTTCAGCGAGAAATAGATAGGCATGCTCGGATTTTCCAGTACCCGTCACGACACTTGCCAAATAATGTTGAACATGCTAAAGCTTGCTAATATTTTTGCTAGACAACCCGTAGAGTAAGATTATCAACATAAACTAGAACTATCAACGTATATTTCTGTATTATATCTGAATTGAAACAAAGTTGTTTAAAGGGAAATTATGCATTCAGCAGTCATACATAACTGGACTTACCATTGATATCATGTATCTTTCCACAAAATTCCTCCGATTCAAACTTAGCCTGTTCTTCTGCATCACAAGGACCTGGAGGCTCAAAGTCAACGTCGCATCTGCAAATAAAACAAAAAGCAAACTATTATTACCGCATCAACTTCATTCCAGTCATCATCTTTGCATTGTCTTCAGAAAAACCGGTCACTTACTGTAGCCATTTTTAAATCGGAGACAAGGGACCTAAATATAATGTATGTGAATATCGATCCTCCCCACTTAGGCAGAACGAAGGGTGTTTTCTAGAACCTATTACAGGTCTACAAACTAGAATCCACACAGCAGTATTTGCACCACCTGTGCAGCACATTCTGATGTGCCTGAGACCACAGGAGAAATGGATCATAGTCGGTGAGGCTTTAGTGAAGTTAAGACACAATTCATGATCCACCAGTCCATGAACAGAGTCATGGCATTCGGTAACAGAAGCTGAGACTGAATGGTCAGCTTTGTCCATGGGCAGAAAATACACAATGACGTGTATTTGGCAGATTCTTCGAATTCCACGTGTGCCGAGTGGATTGCGCAGCATAAATCTTGACTCATAAAATAGTTTTAAAAAGCGTAGAAAGCGGGAAATGGTGTGCAGCAATTTAACACCAGCGAAACTGTCTAAAAAAACAGAAAGCAAACAGAAAGTGCAGTTTTCATGAATAATATTTTACACGAAGATGCAAAATGGGCGAGTGATCACTCACTCAGCTGAGCTGTTATCTGATATCCAACTGTTTCCCAGCTTGGTTTCGGAAGCAGCCAATGACCCATTTGGCATGAGTAAGTCATCATCAATATCACCATTAAAGTTTCCTGTTCAAAAGACAACGACATTCACATTGTCCACCAAACGTGTGGCTTCACTCCCATAATACTGCTCATAAAAAAGGAGCATACGTTTATACAGAGCATACATTGGGATTTGTAAGATTACGTGACATTAAAAAATCACAAATAATACATCAAAAGATAACTTTGCCAGCCACGGCAAACATGAGTGGTGAATAATTTATGAACCGGTCCTGGGCCCCATTGCAACGTGCAGTGTCCAGCATGAAGTATGGTCAAACAACACCCATGACCGACGCAAATTAGAGAGGCCTTCATTCAGCAGTGGATTCAGAAGAGGCTGGACCATTTTTAAATCATGGATTCTAGAAGCAAAATATGAATAATAACTTATTAATATCCATCGTGTTTGTCTTCATAATCGGTTTCTCTTTACCATTGCCGTGAATTTGTTATCCTTGGCAACTCCTAATCTTCTGCCTTTTCTTATCATTCGTAAGAGTGCCTCTGTGAATGTTGCGTTGCTTTTTATGCTGTTTCGCACACATTCTTATCAGCAGCTTTAACTAAAAACACTTTAACAAATCAATGCTCTGCCCAGTATTGCTCACTTTGATGCATCAGGGATGATGCATCAAAGTGAGCACTACAACTGCTTGGTGCAACTAAATCAAGCGCTGTCCTCCCTATGGATGATGTAGCTCTGTCTGACCACCTGGACTGTCTTCATCACATCTCTTTGCTGCCTCTGCTACAGTTCTGCTGCTATGTGTTGTGTTCTTCTACAGTACTTTTATGTTTCGTGCTCTTCTGAAATGCCCAAATCAGTGAACCTATCTTCAGAACTGTCTTACTCTCTTATTTCTCCACGGAAGATTTGTGTGTTTTTGCCAATCAATTTCATAAAGTGCTGCGTCTCATCCGTCATATCACAAGCTTATGAACTGTATGACTCACTACCAACCTTTCCATTCTCAATTAATTTCAATTTGAAGGGGAATGTTTAATCTTGTAACCGATGCGAACGTAAGTCAGGTTTCAATAATGCTCATGAACATTCTGATCATAGTCTCACCACAGAGTCCACAGAGTTGCCCAGCGTACTCCATTGGTACAGACACCTCCACTTGATGATGCCCATCGAAACGAACCGTGAGGCTGAAGTTGGTCATGAGCACGAGGTATGAGCCGCTCAGAGACACGTGCATCCCCGGTAACACCAGTGGGGGCGTCACCCGCTCCCCATCCAACTGTAGATCATAGCACATGAGTGATTCAAACGTTCAGGAAATAATTTCCCTTTATAGTAATGCTTGTACATCCCAGTGGTCTTTGGTTTAATATACGTTTGATTATTTCTGGTAAAAAATGCTATCATCACTTCTGCTTAAGAATTGGGCTTTTGAGACCTAAGTATTGTACCCCATTCTCTTATTTAAAATGCGTGTATAATTGAAGCCAAATCGCATCAAGCCACATTCGATTAACACAAAGCCTCACATTACTTTTGAGGCTGGATTCAAATGAGGGGAGCACAGCATCTGTAAGACGTCATATTTGCCTTTTTGTCTCTCTCAGTGTCATGACAATCACCCATCTATTAATAATTATAAATATATTAACGGAAATTATTTACCAAAAACAAAACCTTAATGAATCTTTTTTTTTCCGGAGGATCCTGCGTTGAGATGTTTGAACAATTATATAAATAAGAAAACCAGAGAAACTGAACTGCCATCTACTGGCCACCTCACAGTGCCATGCCTACAGCACCTGGCGATCACTATGAGTCCCCCATAAAAATGCTAACCAGGATCAAGCTAAATCCAGGCCTGCCCCACCCACTTCCACTTCTGCTCGTTTTGTCTGTCCTCCCCAAAATTAGTTTGTTGCATCGTCTCTGCTTAAGTCCACACAATGTGTATGCATAATTGTATTTTACATTTAACTCATTTGTTACTATAATCTCGGCGCTAACACGAGGTGTAATACTAACCAGGAGGGCGTGCTGTAAGGACAAGGTGACCCTGTGTCCGTACACGTCCACGTGAACATCTCGGACATAAGACACGCTTGCATGGCCACGGCGTTCGTTTTTCGTCTCCACATTGAAGTGTGGCAGGGAGGAGGAGATGTTGCACAGCTTGGCTGTTGTGTAGATGCACGTGCCCATGAAGTTGTAATAGAGCCCATCAAACGTCGTGTAATGTGGGTCTCCCATCACTAAGCATCTTGCAGCTACTGAAAGAAATTCACAAATTTCCCGTTCACTTCACGGTGACAGTCCATGCCGCCATTTTAACCATTTGTTTGCTTTACAGTTTTGTCCTAGTTATTTGGCTGTATATAAATTAACGTTCACTTTGGTTTTTGATTGTACCTTAATTTATCTAGAAGATATAAAATGATGTCCAAGCATCAATGTTTAGTTTGTTTATTTTTACAATGCGATATTCTATATTTACACTGGAGATATGTGAGAATAAATACATGGTATTGTGCTGCGTAGTCACTGATTACCAGATGATGGGGCTGTGGATGGAGCTGCAGTGGTGATGTCTGTAAAAAAAAACATAATAAAAGTTAAAACGAAACTGTTCTAGCTGCCAAGCAATGCTTGAAAAAGTATTGTTTGTTTTCCCCATACTACTTGGTATAACCTTCTTTGGTTCTTTCGGTAAAGTCACGTAGAATGAGAATAAAATAATAAATTGATAAAATAAAATAACACAATAATAATATAATATTTTTCTATGTTAAATCTGTGGGCCGAGTCATATTTTAACAAGTGCGTTTCTAATTTTGAACATCCCGATGCCATTGTAAGAAGGCCCATGGCTTTCTTACGATTAGCAAAAGAAGTTCAACATACAAACAAGCAGCCCAATCCAAGAGCTTTGTCAATTGTTTACCAAAAGATCGTCTGGAAAAATTGAAAATGTGTCTGTTACAAATAACATATGCAGCACGTAATGATATATCTTTGCAACTCTAAGCTAGCTCGGCAGTTGTGCTTAATATGAAGCCTTTAAAGTTTTACTATGAATGACAGGTCTTCAATACTCACCATTTTTCCCACATAGAAAACGAACTTGGTAGTCATGGCACTGATTATTCGCCTGGAGGTAGTTAAAACACTCGAATCCATATGTTGCATTGCTGAAGGTAACTTCTGCTGTCAGCTCAACCGGTACTCCATCCAGTGTCATTACCTGTTTGTACGTGAATATTTCAGTTATAAATATACATCAGCTGTCTTTACCAAAGAAGATCATAACAACTGTTGCAATATCTTAACACTCACCTCTATGTCAACAGGACGGGGGCATATCTGATCAGGATATTCATGTCTCAGCCACTGCAGTGTTTCAAAATCTCCAACCTCAGTTGGGCTATCACGATCAAACCACTGTGTCCAGTGTCCATCTGTTATGAAACAGCATTATAAATATATTGTGCATATACATCTTAACGACATCGTTAAATATGGTGAAGCTGATAAGAATTGTATAAGATTTTGCCATCACCCTTTTACGTTACATGTGCAGTTGTGGGTCAGCCACATAATTTTTTTAACAAAAGTAGTATTACATTTTGATTTAAAGCTTTCGTGACTGTAATAATTCATATTCTTAGCTCTTTCGGTAAAGTCACGTTGAAGGGAAACAATACAATATATATAAAACAATAAAAATTATCACGACGTTTCGACCATAACACAAACGGTCATCATAAAGTGTGAAAACCAACGGCAAGAAACATGTGAAAGAAGTGGCGGTTTGCATTAATTTATTTATATTTAAAAGTGTTTGTTTTTATTTTTAAAAAACTTTAGCACCACGGGCAGCGATTTGGCAGTTTGTTTAGAAGGACTAGTCCATCTATGTTCTGAAAAGAGGAGGGGGAGACGAAAAATTAATGTATACTGTCTGAAAGCCACCGTAAGCGTGACCAATCAATTAAGACCTGAAATGGTTTATCAAATCCTTCCAATGATTGCTAAGCCAGAATCCATCTTCTCGGTTGAAATTGTCTCTGTGCTTGTATATGTGGATAGCCTCATGAACGAATCTCTCATGGTAGCCAGATGGCTTACAAAGAACCTCTGTCTTGGAGAAGTCAATGTCATGTGAGCCTACTGAATTATAACAATGATCTGCCACGGCCGAGGTGTTGGTCCTACCATGTTTAAGGTCTGCTTTGTGTTCACGAATGCGGTCCAAAGACATGGCGTTTGGTTTCTCCAATGTAACTACTACCACAGAGGCAACATAGTTTGTAGACACCAGGGTAGTGTATGTCCGGAATCACATCTTTTACAGATGGAACCAGATCACGGATTTTATGTCATGTGTTGAAACGGACCTGGATCTTGTGTTTATTCAAGATTTTGGAGACCTTTTTTGTGATCCCCGCAATGTAGGGTAAAGTGATGGTTTTGAAAGGCTCCTCAAGAGGGTCCTTCTTCATGGTTTGAGTGATAGCTTTGCGGATTGTATAGTCGAAGTAACCATTAGCCTTAAGAGCTTGGTGTACGTGCTTGAGTTCACTGCCTATGTGTTCCTGGTCGGATATGCATTGGGCACTATAGTACAGAGTCTTGGTCAGAGAATTCTTCTGTGATTGATGGTGGTGGGAATCCGGTTTCAGATAAGCATCCGTATGGGTAGCTTTCCTATAGACAGAGTGGCTCATTGAACCATCAGGTCTCTTTTTTATCAGGACATCCAAAAAAGGTAGCTTGCCATCTTTAAAAATAAATAAATGCAAACCGCCACTTCTTTCAAATGTTTCTTGCCGTTGGTTTTCACACCTGATGATGACCGTTTGTGTTATGGTCGAAACGTCGTGAGAATTTTTTATTGTTTACATATATTTTATTATTTTATTGTTTCCCTTCAACGTGACTTTACCGAAAGAGCTAAGAATATAAAAAGTAGTATTGTCCATGTTTATACACTATAAAATATCAAAATAAAGACCCAGGAAGTGATGGGCTTGCACAAACATAAATCATGCCTGCA